GGACCATATCACCACACCAGGACGTAGTTTTGTTCGCACTACTTCCAGACACAATACTTTCTTCCTGTGCTCTACACCCATCTCCCATTATTATTACCTTCGAGAATTTCGCCTTTTCACTTGCTAATACTAACCGGATAAAGGATGGTTTTGGCTTTCGTGGTGGTCTCTTCTTTTTCATTTCCATCGCGAGAACATCTACTTATTCCATCAGCACTTGGTCATGCCTCCGCCGGGATCATCCTTGATTCAGTGCTATCTTGCACGGATAAAGAACATTCTTGGCTCGCCGACTTTTCACCACTGATGAAAAGTTCGCTGGCGAATTTAGAGTGTCATATACCTACCGCTAGAGGAACTTTACCCCGAATTGTTCATTGTTCCACAGGTCTAACAAGGTAATTTCCGCTCCGGCAGCTTCCATGTCATCCGTGCACCCTGCAAGCCAAGTTCCACTGCCTTTCCAGTGTTGTTAAAGAAACTTCATGTAACATCAGTGGCCACAGGATCTCCTTAACGTTCAGGGCGTTCTTCCTCATCCACCTGATTGATTGCTACTGTGTGTTGCTGATGCTGCTTGTATCTTTCAGTGATGCGACAAGCAACTTTCCTAAGCACATGCTTTTGGTGTCCGAAATTCATGTTATTTTCTCTATTGTGCCTTCTACTTGAACTGTTGGGTAAGTTGTCCCTTCTTCAATATTGTTCACCACGATTTCTTTGCCTTAAACTTCATCCTTGCCCATGAGACTGACTCATTCAATGCAGACAAAACCCATCTGGTTTCTCGTCCTGCCGTCAGGAAGATAAGGTTAATCCCCATGACGAAAAGAATGACGGATATGAAAGATCGTGTCACCATTTCCTTCTCCGGGTTTTTGAAAAATCGTTGTAGCCTCCCAAATAGTAAAACTAAAAGTGTTGTAGGGATACTTCAATCAACTGATGTGATATCGATCCGTATGCGTTTGCGATATCTAGAAATACCACTGTCGGGTTCTCTAGGCTGGACTTGGTCTCACCGATTAGTTGCTTAGTGCACTAATTTGCTCAACAAAACTTGAAAAGCATATGATACTTCCTTTGTGTGTATCCGTTGGTTGTCATATATATTGTCATCCTTCTTACCAACAATGCACAAAGTAGTTCTCCTGTGAAACAAAACAACCTCCGCCTTCTGCCGTCATGATGGTATCTTTCTCTTCCATTAGTTTCATCAGTAACTGCCTCAGTATCTTCATTAGTCGCCATTCCTGTCCTGGTTCCGATCCTTGCCTTCTTTTTGACATCCTGGATCTCCTTCCTTGTTGGTTCCTTGGTGCAAATAAGAAACCATTGAGGCTCTTCTGTTTCTATCCGTGAACACTTTCCAAGTGAAATGCCTCTCTCTCTCTATTTTCATGCGGGGGGTTTTCAGATGCTGTTCAATATTTGTTTTTGAACTCTCCAAGTGGCCCAACTTTCCACGCTGGCACTTTGCTTCTGATGCTTCTGTCAGCGTTGTTTGTATCAAACGTTGTCTTTTAAGTCTGTCCCTTTGGACTTCACCATCCCCTCTTGGGCGGTTCTAGGAGTGTCTTTCTTCTCGTTGTGTTGTACTTTGATAAATGATGTCCTCTATTGAGGGCTGCACTTTGAATGGCCAATTCCTAGTGCCAAGATACTAGTCTGTTCCTGGGTGTTATCTGTCTCTCTAGCGTCAACAATCGTCCTTGGTTGCCATCCAGTCATTCCTGGAAGTCTCTGATTGATTTCCAAGAAGAGGTGTGAACATATAATGTCGATGGAGTACAGCAAATAGATTGGCAAGATCAGTCGGGTCCATCAGTCTGTGGAGTTTTCAGGCCTTGTCCCAGAACGTCCTCGTGCTGGTAAGTCTATGACAATAAACACACTTCCTATCAGTGGATGGCTTCTTATTTTTCTTCTCCCTTCTGAAGAATGATAAGCGTTTTACAGCTTTCGCTCGTTTGCTTATCGTCATAGATTTTGTTTGCCTTCACAACCATACCCAGAGCCTGCACGTCTTCCATATTCAGTTTGCCGGGAACCATCTGCATCCAACCTCCACAGCGAACAACCAATGCGCCACCTTCGCTCCCTACATTGTTACATGAGCTAAACATACATAGCTCTTTCTCTCATTGGCCTGGTCGCTTCGCTCTTCCCATGATACTAGCTACTATATAAACCGTAAACTAATAAAGGAACACACTCATATTTAACTGTACGAAATAAAGATTCTCCATCTTATTCTGTTCTGTTCGTCTGTTCTAATGTATTATGTCTTATTTTGTCTCGTATCATGTATCTTATCTTGTGTATTAATTGTGTTTTGTATCTTGTGTCTTATACTATGTCCTGTATCTTATCTTTTGTCTTATACTGTTTCTTGTCTTATACTGTGTCCTGTATCTTATATCTTGTGTCTTAATTGTGTTTCGTATCTTGTGTCTTATACTGTGTCCTGTATCTTATCTTTTGTCTTATACTGTTTCTTGTCTTAAACTCTGTCCTGTATCTTATATCTTGTGTCTTAATTGTGTTTTGTATCTTGTGTCTTAAACTGTGTTCTGTATCTTATCTATTGTCTTATACTGTTTCTTGTCTTATACTGTGTCCTGTATCTTATATCTTGTGTCTTAATTGTGTTTTGTATCTTGTGTCTTATACTGTGTCCTGTATCTTATCTTTTGTCTTATACTGTTTCTTGTATCTTATCTTTTGTCTTATACTGTTTCTTGTATCTTATTTTTGTCTTAAACTGTGTCCTGTATCTTATCGTTTGTCTTATAATGTTTCTTGTATCTTATCTTTTGTCTTAAATTGGTTCTTGTATAGTATAAATCATTTTGTATCTTGTATTGCGTCTTATCTTGTTGACTACTATCAGAGACGTCACTGCTACTATCTTGTATAGCATCGCTCAACCTATGAGATAACCAATAAAGGGGAAGTAACCACTATTACAAAAGTTACAACAGAAAAAGATCTAGGAGTTACAATTGACAGTACTCTCAAATTCAGCGATCACACCAACATTTCCGTTTCAAAAGCCAACAGAATACTCGGAATAATTTGCAGGACCATTACCCTTAAAGATACCAATACATGTATTGCCCTTTACAAGATACTGGTAAGACCGCATATAGAGTTTGGTCCCCGATGCTGTTGCAAGACAAAATTGCCATTGAAACCGTACAATGTCGAGCCACAAAAAGAATCCCGCAACTTAAGGACATGTCGTACACCAACAGATTACGGAAATTGGGACTACCAACACTAGAATACAGAAGGGAACGTGCAGATATGGTAGAATTATACAAAATACTGAACGGGATTGACATCTTCAAACGACCCGACATGTTTGCACCACCGGAAGTAAACCCCAAAAGGGGGCACTCTAAAAAGCTCTACAAAAAAGCATTCCGATTAAACATCTGCAAAAATGTCTTCAGTATGGCAAGCCAAGTTGTCATTTATGCATGGAGCAATGTTGATCCAGTACTTAACCAAATTATATAATATATCTCATAAAGTATATAAGATCTCTTATTAAAGATATAAGATATCTCATATGTTTATAAGATATCTCATAAACTTAGAATAAGATATCTTATATAATTTGGTTAAGTACTGGATCAACATTGCTCCATGAATAAATGACAACTTTTTGCTTGCCATAGTCTTCAGCAACAGAGTTGTCAACACATGGAACAACCTTACAGAGGAAGTAGTTTCCGCAGAAAACATCAACACGTTCAAGCATCGACTGAACAAGCACTGGAATACTCACCCCAGGAAATTCAGTGCTTCCTTTTATAAAACAGTGAACATTACGTGTACATAAACTGTAAATAAACTTTACATATTAAGCATGCGCGCAACCGGAAGTGAAGGCGTTTAAAGTAAACGCGAATAAAGCAAAATGAAGAGGCATCGCAACAATCTCTATCGAGATTTCCAATGATGGAAGATTACTATGATTACTATGATCTATTATCTTGTGCAATATATCATGTCTTGTGTTTTATCTTACCTTAAATTTTGTCTAACCCGGTGTCACAGGTTTTAATCGTTTTTGCATATATCACATTATTACGATTGCCTGGTTAAAGCTTCACGCTAGAGTCGCTTTAAAATCTCAGTTATAGCACGGGAAAAGATTGCTTTCTAAGTCCGTGGTCATAGTGATGGAACGCGAAACGGAGGACGCTGGTTCTATCCCCGACAAAAACAACAACATAAAATTATCTTGATTTCTAGATGCATATTAGATGATTATGTATCTTTTATCTTATCGCTCATTTTATCTTGTAAATCCTCTCGTATATAACCCTTTCACCCCTACCATCCCTGATGATTCCTAGAGAGACGAAACAGATTATTTTTGTCATACATTACAGTATTTTATACACTGAGTACTGTAGGCCATCACAATTAAGTAAGCATGATGTTATAACATATTATATTGCATCTTATCTTGTATTTTAATTTGCATCTTATCTTTAGTACTAGTTTCTATCTTTGGTCTTAACTAGGTCTTATCAGAGACGTATAATACATTATACGTCTCTGGTCTTATCTTGTATCTTGTGTTTTGTTTTGTTTTACTACGGACTTAGATAATCTAATTCCGTGGTTTTACCGACTACGTCAGCCTTTTGATACATCCGTTCCGTAAAAAAAGTAAGTTTGCCCCCCCCCCCCATCCCTCCCTCAAATGTACATTATTGTGATATGTTCAATGTGGGGACTGCAGATTTAGCCTATGAATACATGGTCTCAGTTTCCTTATTAAGGAAATTCCTTTAACTTCAATTTGTCTAATAATGGACACAACGGCATTTGAGAAAATCGTTATTTCCATGTCCCTGCTCTATATAAGAATGTGCTAAGGACTGGTAAAGTTATATATGAGGGACGTAACGTTAGAGCTTTTACTAGTTATGTACACGTCACATTTAAACACAAATTCAAACTGACTTTGTTTCAATAAGGGTAGATAAAGATTGTGCAGCCTAGCGTCGTAATGTGTAGAAATATCCCGTGGCGGGCCTCAATCGAAAAAAAGTGCCAATAGGTGCGTTCGGAAGGTGAAGGAATTCTTGAGGTCAGAGGTCACCATGCGCTGTCAAGCCGTGGATACGGGAAGCGTGTTAGGCCCCTAACATAAACATATATCCACACTGCTGTCGGGGCTCGGGATTCCCTCAAAGCCTGGGCGTGGTCACTTTTACCGTCGGGAAAGCCGCAAAAGTGGACAGCATTGATATTTAATTGGCAAATATTACCACTATAATGCCAATGTAAGGTGCGTGTCAACAGGCTGAACGTCTGTGTGTATTTTCTCATCAGTTTGGAGCGCGGAAGTGTTATACGGGGATATTGTGTTGTCTGCCTTCATTGAACCAGCTTGTGGACAAGGTAAAGGAACCTGCGGTGAAATGGGGAAGATTGACAACTTTATTCAGTCTGTCCCTCTTACTCTGGACCTCGGGGAAAAGATTCGGAAACATTTACCCCCCGGCACAGGGGAGTATTCTGTTGGATGTCTGGACTGTGATCATACCTCGGATCCTCTATCGGACACAGGGGCATTGTTTCGTCTATATTATCCAATTGAAAAGACAGATATTATTGTAAGTATTAGCGTGATATTGTTGCATGTGACTTAATACATCGTGTAGGATCTTGTTTTGACTTATCATGAAATCACAGAATTATCTAAGTCCCGTGCTGAAATCCAATATTTTTGCATATTACGCCTACATTTTTGTGTATTTCTGTCAACTTTTCAGTTAAAAACAAAACTGTTTGAACCGTTTATGCCATGTAGTATATACATAAACTTTTAAACTTTAAGACATTAAATTCATGTAATACAATTAATCAATTAAATACCATTATTAAATTAGTGCATAATTAAATAGTATCTCTCTGGCTAACTCTACAATATTCTGGTGCATAGATAGCTTGGTACACTTGTACTTATATTTTTATAAAGAATACAAACAAATAGGAGTATAATTTTACATGATGTTTTGAGTTTTAAGTGATATTTCCAGCTTTATTACATACCTGGTAAATCTTACAGTAAAACAGTGATCATGATATATACAACCAGTTTTCAGGCCATGATGCAACACAGCATTGTGTATTTCACACCGATAGCACAATTACAATATAACCACAGTAGCCAGATTGTTACCAGCTGAGCAAATCAAAAAAGTGAAACCTGAGGGACATATATTTTATTATATACATCTGATCTCTGGCGAAGCTGAAGAATGTTTTTTTTGCCATTTTAGAGCTATTTTAATTTATACTATGATAATAAACATTAATTCATACTTGCCAAGTTTTTTTTAAATTTCCATGGGGATTCTGAATGCTCAAAATCAACACCTAAATAAAATGTATAAATATGTATACCCCTTAGAGACAATAGTTTCGAAATTGGGAGTCTCCCTCCTAAAAAGCGAGATCGGGTTGGCAAGTATGTTAATTATTATTCCGTCCTGGACATCTACCATTGTTGGTCTGTGAAGTTTTTGGAAAACAAATTGAACATCAGTTAAAGAGGAAATGATTTGAATGTGTAATGTGTAATGTTTTGTCGAAAAGATCATATGAAATGGTCAATTGAAAATTTAACAACTGTATGTATCTGTATGTAGTAAGACCTATACATGAAAAAGATCTCGGATTGCACAAGTGCATTGCACCTATGGATATATTTCACAAGGGCTTCACCCTGAGTGCAGTATACAATTGTACAATAAACAGGTTGACTACATATGTGTTGTACATTGCCTTTGTTTATATGGTACATTATATTTTGAAGTTTACTGTCGTTATATAAGAGGGTGACCTACGGGCAACTTTAAAGTGCAGTCTCACTGAAATGTCATAAACTGGACAGGTAGTATGGTAAACTATTCCCGCTCACATTATACTAGCTGACTCAAGACTGGTCACGATCACGTTTTACTGACAATGGGTAACTAGTGCTTCACAGCTGAACATTATGCAGGGATCACAATAAGTACAAGTTTTAAGGATTTTATTTGACTTGGTTGCGGAACAAAACAAAAAAACTTCTTCACAGGGGTAAATGCTCAACACTAAGGCGAAAAACAAGGTATTTAAGTGTTGTGAATGTCCAATCAATTTGCCTAAAGCAAATGAATGTTTTAGATCAGCCTCACAGCACAGGTGTTCAATGCAACCCTTTAGGCCTATATAGGTGTCTGGCTGTCCAGTGAGTGTTTATTTATATTTCCTGTTACATATAAAGACATGAGCTAATGTGCTGACGATATTACCTGTACTTGTAATGTATATACCTGTTGCCCTCGGGCAGTTCACAAGATGTCCGGTGGTCATGACCTTACAGGCATTTTATCTTATGGTCAGTGGCATGGTCACCACTGGTCAGGCTGAGGTAGAAATATTGGTCACATGGTTGTAGTAAAAAGTCAATTTCGTAACATTTTGTCATGTTACGTTATTAGCATATATATATATATTTATATCCTTCAACTAGAAAAAAAGTCATCTTGAAAGAACTGCAGAGCCCAAATTTCCATAGACAGCTATCGTATTACACATATACAGAGGTGACCTCTACAGTGACACAGTGTGAAGTGTCAGGCTAAAACGTTTTCTGGATGCAAATTTTTTTACCTGCAAAAATGTATCATAGAATATGAAAGAAATTGAGGTTGGGTATTAGGAACGAGTGTAGATTATTATGGTTATAAGTTTAGATCGTATTTATGGGTGATTATTTGGTCAATTATGGCACCTGTATAATATTTGATTGAACTTTACAATTTGAATCTCCACCGTTGATACAGAGATTGTGTTACTTGGTAGTTAATGTATAACACTTCTAGAGAACTTCGACAGAGGCCATAGGAACACTTACGGTAACATACAGGTCTGATCCAAATATTCTCCTTTTATACATCTGGCTTGCTTAAATTAGATTTTCATGCTTTTCTGATATACATGGACATACCTTGGTATATAGTAAGCTAATAACATCAAATGCAGCTAAGAGCAATATGCATGTTCCTCGTAATAGATTGGACATGATATACATGTGTAGACTTCAGAGACTTAGAATTTCATCATAGCTAACGTTTGATCAATGAGAAACAGTATAAGAGTAGCAATATTTTGGCTAGAACGTTTCAGTTTGTGTGTAAGAAGAATTCTGCACTGACTGACAATATTAATCACAGTGGAAGAATTTACTTTTAAAGGAACTTTGTTTTTATAATCTTGTAACAAAATTCTTCATGAAAATATAGTTTGATACTCCTTATGGAAAATTCATGTCAAGAAATTGTTAAGAGACAATGTTTTCTTCACTTGGCATTCTTAGTCAGTAATGAAGAAATGTTGAAGCTAGGTGAATTTTTGTAAACAGATACGTTTTACAGCCATGGAGAGAAGGTATATTCACATATATCGTACAGCTAACGTCTTTGGAATACAAATACAGGCATTTAAAAAACACATCTATTCAGGACAAATTTATTCAGTTTTCTTTTTTTTACTCTATGTTCATCAGTGCTTATTAAAAGCTGGTTGCTTGAAAAAGTTAAACCTGCTATTCATTGATTAACTTTGAACGAGCTTAATGCTAATTTTTTCAGAATATGTACAGCATGTACATGTACATGAACATTCAACTGTCTTTCTTTTCAGGTCAATCACCTATTACAAAACTAATTAAGTGAGAACTGCACTGATTTAATTCCTGGATATGACAGACACCTGCTATGAAATTCTTCCGTCAGAGTGTGAGATTTTCAGGAGGCTGGGATAGCTATAAAGATTTCATTACAGCAATTTTATAGGTTTAAGTTGTATGAGCCAACTGTTCTCTCCCACAAAGTTATGCCGAAGCTGTATATATATCTCTTAGGCCTCATTCTCAGTATCTCCCGTTGCAGAACCCCCTAGCCTCCTTCTGTGGAAACTACTATCCCCAACCCTTCTGTAGAAACTCCCCTCCCCTATCCAACTCCTTCTGTGGACCCCATTTCCCTATATATGCCTCCAACTCCTTTTTGGACCCCCCCTCCCCCCCACACAAACCTCCCTCCGACTTCTGTTCTCTCAGTGGACCCCCTCCCCTCCAGAAGGACTCCCCTCTACCATTTATCAAATTTAGATCATTATAATCCCCAGTAAAGCTCCTGTTACATCCTGAGGGCTGATCCTCAGTATATTTACATACCATGTGCTTAATGCATCATGATCGTTATCCGAGTCGGACATCTGTGTGATCTCTGTCCAGCCATCATATGTACACACACACACACACACATATATTTATGTTTACTGTAAATATTATATATCCTAAGTGACATTGGACTAAAACATTTCACACAAACTTATCAATTTTCACTAATATCCTATTATTCACCTTTTATTTAATCATTGAAACTTACAGAACAGCAAAGAAGGAGAATTGCTGCATTACACTCAATACTTTGTACTACAGGCCTTCCCTTCACTCTTGGCCCCTCAAACACACGTTCCTATGTCTTACTCATATAAATGTGAAACATTCTATATTACAAGTGGAGGTTCCGCTGGCTAGTCACATGACCTATGTTGCTATGGGTGATAAGGGGTACTTATTATTGGTATGAGATAGGCCTACAAGTTTTTCCACTTTCAGTAAAATTCATAATGAATTATATTACCAGATGTGTTTCTTTACAATTACAATATTTGTATAAACCTAGAAAGATGTCTAATTCAGCTTTAGTGATAGCATGCTTGTCCTTCACTAAGAGCTGGCTTTGATTCTTGATTGGAGGTGAAAAATATATATTGGGTCATCTGCCCGACCATGTGGGTATTTCTGGGTACTCCATAACTACAGTTGCCCCCTGTGCACTAGCTATTATCTGTCGAGCTTTGAATGAGTGATGATACATCAGTTGATAGAACTTGTTACATAATTGCAGTGTTTTTGTTACCTGAATTTTACAACAGCCTGGTCCTTTATACTTATGAATTAGGAAAATATAGCATTATTTGTATTAAAATTTGGAATATATTCCTCAGCTTTTTAGTCATTTTGGGAAAATAAGGCACTTTGTAGCTAGGGGAAACAGCCTGTAATGATTCGGCTGTAAAACAGAGCAAAACAAAATCACTGAATTGATGTGAAATAAAGTTAAATTTAATTTTGATACGTACATTTAATTAAGCCACAAAATGTACAATCGGATGTTAAATTGATAAGGTTTGATCACAATTCTTCCTATTTAGCCAGATTAACTAATTACTATTGGTTCAATCGGGTAATTTTCTTCCAAAGAGGATCAATACACATGCATGTGAACATGATTGTGTTTTAGATATAAATAATGTCAAAGTGACATTTTTTGACACTTTTATTTGATCTTATAATTCAATTTCAAAGCTAAGCTGCAACAAGGCAAAAGACGCGGATGATGACATTCACTTTGACTGTTGCTTGTAGACATATATATGCACAAATACGGATTGATTAAACTATAATAATATATCGACTCTGTGATTCTCCGATCAATTACGAACCTAATCTACAGCAACTATACATGTATGCAACAAACATGTATACTCAAAA